AAACGTGGCTTAGAATTCATAACATGTTCATTTCACAACAGTAGGACAAGATCTGGATATGTAGAAATGTGGTTGTGTTTTTTAGCGTTTTCCATCTCCTGTAGTGTGTTATAGGTGTTTGTCCATGTAAATGGTCTGCATAGGCTAAAATCCCAATGTTCCAGTCAAGAGCTCCCATCACAGACAGTATGAGAAAAATGAAGCCCTTTTTGAACATTAAAGCATGCAAACATGTCACATGCCTGAAAATGAGCATAATAAGAATTTGTTTCAAAATGTTGTCTAATCTAACAGACTTCGAACCTTCTGATAAAATCTTGAAATATTTCATATTTCCTTCAAAGTTGGTGAAGCATTCAGAAAAGAACTAGTGGAAATAGCATTCGCTTACAGTATAAGAATTATGGTCTTATGTATTTCGTTCCTTTGCCTTAGGCTGTACAAAAACTCATCACTAACAGTCTGTTGTCGCTGTTAAAACTGAATTCAAGAAACTAATTTACCCTCACTTCACTTCAAATGTTTCCCCACTCTCACTGTAGTACACCTCTCTCCGCTGCCAGCTCCTCCGCCTGGCCTGGGCTGTGAGCTTTTTATTCTGAAGCACTGAAGACATCAACCCTTTCTTTCATCAGCTCATTTTTCAGCAAACACTGTTGAAGGAATACTCTCGTGACCGGCAGAGTAGGGAAAATGGTAAAGACACGCTGACAACAGGATGTATCCGAGTCATTTTGATACTGTGTTCTTAAACATTTGACCATTCGTCAACTCCTCATCGCACCTCTTGAAGTTTCTGTTTTAACAAAGCAGAGTGAAATGCTTTTGGAAGTTTGACACCCCGACTAATATCACAAGCGATATAAAAAGGGTTGTTCCTCCTTCCTCTTTTCCAACCTGCCAACATTCTGAACTGCACCGTCAGATCTCATATTTCCACCCTTAAATTAAGTGACAGCATAATTCCCTGAAAGTATACAATTTTCAAAACGGTCGGAAAACAAGATCACCTGGGAAATCTTTCCACAAAGGAATAATGATTTATTCTCCGTTAAATGTTAAATCATCAAAGCAAGCACATTATTGTCAATCTCCGGGCAGGGTGTTGCTGAAAAGGAGCAGAGGTGGGACTAAGTACATTAACTCAAGTACTGTACTAAGTAAATGTGTTGAGTATGAATGTATTAATGCTACTTTATACAATGCATCTTTAAAAATCAGTCTACAAAAAGCCCATAAGAAGTTTGAATGTCTGCACCAACATTCCACTTGATGCAACAATTTGATCTAGAAATGTGAATATGATTACTTTTTATACTTTTGCTGGTAATACTTTGGTACTTTTACCTAAGGGACATTTTGAATGCAGGACTTTGACTTGTAATGAAGTATTGTCATGGTACTTCACACAAGTAAAGCATCTGAATACTTTTCCATCACTAAAAAAGGAGCAGGCATCCTGATAAAGAAGCCTTTTTTCCTGGATAATACAAAGGTTAACATAGCCTATAGATGCAGAGGCAGCTCTCCTTTCTCACTGCGCCTCCTCATCTAGCCGTGCATTACCTCATCAGAGGAGGATCTGCCTAAAGCCGCAGCGGTCGCACAACAGACAAAAGCGCTCATCTCCAGGAAGCCGCTGCCGCTGCCTTGTGGTTTGGAGAGAGGAGAAGAGAGAGGAAAAAGTGACTCAGCCCCACGGCTCCTTTCTTCTCCCTGCCGATTTAGGGATAAACGGAGGGATAAAGCACAGGGGGAGATAATATTTAGAGCAGGCCCCATTTCAAGGGCAATAGAAGAGAGAAAGTGGGGTATGAGCTTGGGTGGTTTGGGAAGTAGCCACGAGGGTCGGTCTATACTGTTTCTGGCAGAGGGCCTCGCACCGTGGATTTATGTGTAAGTGGGGAGGAACCGCTGCTGGCCCCCAACCCGAGGGCCGCTGCACCAGCCCCCATCAAACAAACCAGATGGGCCTCAGACGGGATGTTGATGAGGCATGAGTGTGCAAAACATAAACATGCACGCAAGCACAAACACAAATAAATTGACACAGCCTGGAAAACAACTAAATACATAAGGCACAAACATATGTAGGCTACTCCTGGCACGCATGAACGAAAGCGGGGACTCGAAGCGTGGCCGTAGCGGATCGCTGGAGCTCACTCCCTTTTCCCACCGTTAAAGGAGGCTCCACTGTAAACCAAAGTGAACATTTCATATGTGTGGACAAATCGGATCAATTAAGGAAATGTCCGAGCTCCAGAAGACATAATGGCTCACTGTTAACGTAAGGTAAAGTACTGAGAAACTACACACAATTCTGTTAGACGCTGCACATTAGCAGCGCTGATTTGTCTGTAATGCAGTGAAGTTCACATACAGAGCTGAAGTAAATTCCCCAGAGGAGGACATTGTTTTTGGGGGAAGCCAAACAGGTAACCTCAGTGGGTTCGTTAGCTCATTAGCTCATTAGCTTAGCGCAAATCAGTCCCACCGCTGCTCATTGTCTGGTCACTTTTCTAACTGTTTGCAAATGACTGCCATTACAGCAACCATGCGTAACAACAGAGGTCTGCAACTAGGCCTGTTATGATGCATGAAGCGGCTCAAATCTGTTCTCAACGTTTTTTCTCACTGCTACTTACGACTATATGAAGCAACAGGTTCGCATACATCTCAGAGGAAAATTCAAATGTTATGCTTAAAGGTGGGGTAGGTACGTTTGAGAAACCGGCTCGAGATACACTTTTTGATAGGCTATTCCATGGAATGCTCTTGACATCCCGATAGCAATTAAATGCTTTGACAACAAATCCATAAAAAACGTCATCTGTGGAAGCCGTGGCGCTGTAAAAAGCACGACCAATCATCTGAGCCGGCTAAAGTAACTGGATGGCCTACCTGCCTGTCAGCCTTCCATCTGGGCACAAACTAATCTCGTGCCCTCATTGGTCATGTGCGCGTTCGTGTGTGTTGGAGGAAATTCTAGCGCACTCGAGCTGGTTTCTCCAAAATGACCTACCCCACCTTTAAGTATCACACGCTTTTCCTTATCATCTCTTTTTATTTGAATGCACAAATACAAATCTGGATTTAGTTCTCCACGCTCATCAGATAAACAGTGTAACCAATGTTTAAGACGGATGTTGTGAAGTATCCAGTGTAGTCAGATCATCTGAAACATTACTCATAGACGTCTACGTCTACGTCTTCTGATCAAAACCATTAGCTACAGTATGTACAGTACATGTCAAGGCTTCGACTTTGCAAATCCTCAAACACACACCACCACCCGCTAAAAACAAAGATACCATAAATGCATCCTGTCACGACAAGATCGGTAGACCCTATGAAGGCTGTAATTTTGTTAGGAGGGTCCACTTGTCATCTTACCGCCATGTAATTAGATTGGAGAAGCAATTGCATGTTAAAAGAAACAATAATGTGATTTCAAGTTTCCAGATTAACTGATGAAATTAAGGGAGTTTGATGGAATTAAAAGTGGCCTAAGTGGTCCGCTTCTCCCCAATAATCACACAATTCCTTTCTGCAAACGCACGGCAATTAGGCAGAAGAAATAAATGCATGTGGCCTGTAATAATTACTGTGATGTTTGTATTATTCTGTCATAGAATAACATCTTCCCAAGCATCAAAGTATCTGTTTGCAGCCAAATGATCCACATCAACAGGCTCATTTTCAGGTTCATATGTGTATTGTTTGCCTCTACTGTGACATGTTTACATGCTTTAATGTTCAACAATTATTTTGCTCATATGGGCTGCAGCACCTCTTTTCACCCTCCGTCTGAAACCAGAGCCCAGCCTGTTGTATTTGGTCAACAGCTTGGAGATGTCCCGTCCCTTAGCATATCACATACAATTTGTTGGCCAATAGAAGTATGAGTGTTAGATACTGATGTCACTATGTTATAGAAGAAAAGGGAGTCAAATCAAGGCGTGAACTTTGGGATCGTAGCCTTTGCAGACCGTTTACATGCACTAAAACCTATCAAAACTACAGGAAAGGGGAAAAAAAGCATAACTGGGTCTCCTTGCTACATCTTGTCACAGGTTGCATCAAAGTGACCCCTTAATAAGAGTCTCGACAGCCAGTGTGGGAACCATAACTCACTGTTCATTGTGATACATCACGATTTACACGAGCCATAAATCGAGCCTTTGAAACCGAGCTCCTCGAACCAAACAGCAGGACGCAGATTATCGCCGACACCAGAACACTGACGCTCGTCTCTTCACTCTGAGCGAGCTGCGAGTGTGGCCACTTGTTGACCCGGCAGTGACACGGCTCAAGGGCCACTAGAGAGGGCCTTAATAAGTATTCTTAAACAGGGGGATTAGCCAGATGCTCAGATCACTCTTTTCTCCAACCTCTCCCATCTGTACGCTTCATACTGTTCGTCTCCCTCTGCTGAAGCCATCAAGATCAGCCGCTGCGGCCTGACCAGCTTAATTTGGGCTAGTGTTACCTCCAGCACTATTTGACTCCAGATATAATCTTTATTGCTCACAGAGAGAAAGTCCATTAAAAGGCATACTGTAGGTCCCGGGCGCTGAAAGGTTCCTGGAGTGATGCCTGTGAGAGTCTTTAAAAGACCCCTTTCTTCACTCAAGTGAAAGCAGCTATTGAGGGCAGAATACTAACCCGAGTGGAGGTCTGCATTCGCTGTGAAACAAATCAAAAGCGTTCTGTATGTGCCGACGGAGGGGAGCGAGGCAGCGGACATACACAGAGTCAGCTACAGTTTCGCTAACACACACACTTTGCTCTGATAAAACAACAGCGTGATGTGTTCAAACACCGGTAGGCGTTGGTGCCTTCTGCTTCTAGGAAACAATGATGTGCTCTCAATGAAAGCTTATTATCTGCCGTTTGGTGGAGGCAATCATTCAAAGTGCCAAACAGTGGCACCAAAGCAAACACAAGCTGGCAGCGTCATAAATAAATATCATTCGAAGAAATTCATTAAGGAAACTTACAGGAATAAGAGACTTCAACTCCGACACCCTCTTCTCACTTGTAGATGAGTTTAAAATGCATGAACGTCACCTGGAGAAGAGAGACACAGAAGAAAAGGATTATTATAATATGTATTTGATCATTTTGTATAGTATGGTATTCATCATCATCATCTTCATCATCATCATCATCATCAAGACCAAAAAAGGGACATTTCACACAAATGTAAATGTTTTGCCGCTCATGTCTTGTATGATAAGATCGTTTTTATTATATTTTGATTTCCATTTATGGTCAACTTTTCACCATAAGTAGGCCTACCTTTTACCACAACAGATTTTGTTTCTAGTAAGAGATTTTTGTGAGTACCAGAAATGGATTTACAATTTCCCAATTTCTCTTCCATTGTATCGGATAAGCGGCAGAAAACTCAGAGACCTCAAATCCTGGGCGACTCAAACCAAAGCTGTCTGCATGGCACGCCACCAGAGGTAAGTGAGAACATTTATATGTGTCATTTTGGGTAAAACAACCCTTTAAAGGAAGGGTGTGTTGCCATTAACATCAGGACACATTTTAATGAACACTGACCAAACTTCACATCCCGCCAGCGAATTGAGGTTTGACAAAGTATCAACATTTGGATTGAAAAGTGTTTTTGGAGCGCAGCGAACGCACTCTCGAACCCACCTGAGGTCCCCGTGTTTAGTGGATGTTCAGCACAGAACAGAGGTCCTGTGTGAAGCCCACTGCAGGCCAACAGAGGATCAGTGTGTTTCTCACACTGCACAAACAACGGCACACACGCAAAGCCGGACAAACGACAAACAGCGTCCTATGCGGAGCGTTGAAGTCGCGATCTTTCCGAATACAGTCAAAAAATGTATTCAAATGAGCGGAAAGAAAACTCATCAAATGGACAGCTAATCTTTTCCTGGGCCGCTTTATTATAGCCTCACACGCACACAAAAGCATACTACAAACAGTGATTTGCTAAAGCAGGGGTCATAGAAAACAAATAACAACATCAAAGAGGTCAAACTGCTGACGGAGCACTTTGAAGGTACCATGATCAGGAAAGTGGGCTCCAAATTGAGAGAGGATGGGAGCTAGATTGAGAATGGGAGGCTGCTAATTAAAGAAAAAAAATGAACTGGTTAAGGAGAGACCTAAGGAGAGAGGCTGGGTTCACACACACACACACACACACACACACACACACACACACACACACACACACACACACACACACACACACACACACACACACACACACACACACACACACACAGCAGCATTTCTTCGGCTCTATGCATCATGACGGCCCTCTAAGTTGTACAGAAAGCGCAACACAAACACGCCTTTGATTCCACAATTTGAGGCTAATTGAGAACAATGAAGAAAAAAGGCAAACACTGGGCATGTATGATATTTTATTCACGTCTTTAATCAAGCAAATGATTCTCTCTTGGATCTCTCTTTTTCCTCTCAGGGCACAATTAAGGGCAATTCTGACGAGAAAAACTCAAAGGCTTGTACTCTTGTGATGATAATAATAATAATAATAATAACGATAACAAATAGTCGGCAAAAACACACTTGTGAGAAACACCGCTGTAAACACTTCTGTTAGATGCAACTGCTTTTTTGCAGAAGAAGCAATAAACCCTGAAAAGCTAAGGACTCTTAAAGCCACATTTCCAATCGACTGACCCGCCTGAACACGCTCTGGATTTCTGCAGAACCAGTTATTCTCATTCCCTTTATTTTTATTTTTTGGTTTTACCCCCCTTTCTTCCCTCCATTCCTCCGCTCCACACGCCCCGACACTCATCTGCAGATGGCAGATCTGACACCTGGAGGATGCTGGGTAATCAGAGAGACAGCTGGCTGCCCAGTGGAGGAGCTGTCGCAAAACACACATGCTCTCAAACACACACACACACACACACACACACACACACACACACACACACACACACACACACACACACACACACACATACTGAGCAACAGCCTCGAGTGCAGCATTTACACTACATGAATTCTGCACGTAACAGCCCATGCACTTCTGTATCCATGCACATATATGTATATACTGTACATTCACACAATTAAACATGCGCTTTGTTAATAAGTATAATTGAGGTGTGGTGCAGAGAAGATGTAATAAGTGTGTGTGCAGGGGTTTGACTAAAGTGCAGTTATCGAAGGTGTGGCAGTAGAGTTCATGAATATACATTTCAATTCCTGCCACTGTACATTTTCAAGCTCCTACATGTGGCTTCGGAAAGCCGAGACAAGGGAGCTGACATTCAATTTTCCTCCTGACAACTGCAGGAAGTAACAGCTACCTCTTTGGCCCACTGCTGTAACACGGCACATGTACTACTGTACTTCTTCTGGCTGCAGCAGAGCCGTGACATGGAGAGGTAACAGATATGTTGCACCACAAGAAGACACAATTTATTGCTTTGGAAACGTCTGCCTGCACCTGCACAATGAATGCACGCATTCACGCAACAACATGTGCACAGACCCGAATGTTGTCTTGTTGCAGCTGTCAATGCCACTTGTGCAGCCGCGAACACACTGGAGTCAGAACAATGGATCTCTATGAGACAGAAGCTCTCTCAATGAGCTTAGCACCACATGAGGCTCTGCGCTGCCACTTCCATGTCTGCACCATAGGAAACGGAGAACGGTTCCAACTAATCATATGGCCAATCAAACCAGAATGAGATTCACTTGACCCATAAACGATGAGCTTATAGCACACGTTGACTCTCACAGGACTACAGGCCATGTTTTGCAGGCCTTGTGATGTTTCTGTTTATTTGTCTATCATTTTGTATCCTCCTATTATCACCCAGCTATTATTTTACTGTGTTTTACACTTCATAATCCAATTTAGACTCATTAGGATTATCACTAGAGTCAATCGAGTCAAACTTCCTACAAGATATATTTATTGAAAGGGGCCCTATTATGCTCATTTTCAGGTTCATATGTGTATGTAGTGTCTCTACTTTAAAGAGTCCTCTCCTGCTGATGTTCAGGTGTATATCAGTATGTAGTGTCTCTACTTTAAAGAGTCCTCTCCTGCTGATGTTCAGGTGTATATCAGTATGTAGTGTCTCTACTTTAAAGAGTCCTCTCCTGCTGATGTTCAGGTGTATATCAGTGTATAGTGTCTCTACTTTAAAGAGTCCTCTCCTGCTGATGTTCAGGTGTATATCAGTATGTAGTGTCTCTACTTTAAAGAGTCCTCTCCTGCTGATGTTCAGGTGTATATCAGTATGTAGTGTCTCTACTTTAAAGAGTCCTCTCCTGCTGATGTTCAGGTGTATATCAGTATGTAGTGTCTCTACTTTAAAGAGTCCTCTCCTGCTGATGTTCAGGTGTATATCAGTATGTAGTGTCTCTACTTTAAAGAGTCCTCTCCTGCTGATGTTCAGGTGTATATCAGTATGTAGTGTCTCTACTTTAAAGAGTCCTCTCCTGCTGATGTTCAGGTGTATATCAGTATGTAGTGTCCTCTACTTTAAAGAGTCCTCTCCTGCTGATGTTCAGGTGTATATCAGTATGTAGTGTCTCTACTTTAAAGAGTCCTCTCCTGCTGATGTTCAGGTGTATATCAGTATGTAGTGTCTCTACTTTAAAGAGTCCTCTCCTGCTGATGTTCAGGTGTATATCAGTATGTAGTGTTCTACTTTAAGAGAGTCCTCTCCTGCTGATGTTCAGGTGGATATCAGTATGTAGTGTCTCTACTTTAAAGAGTCCTGCTGCCTGCTGATGTTCAGGTGTATATCAGTGATGTAGTGTCTCTACTTTAAAGGAGTCCTCTCCTGCTGATGTTTCAGGTGTATATCAGTATGTAGTGTCTCTACTTTAAAGAGTCCTCCTCACTGACTAAGTGTTCAGGTGTAATATCAGTATGTAGTGTCTCTACTTTAAAGAGTCCTCTCCTGCTGATGTTCAGTGTATATCAGTATGTAGTGTCTGCTACTTTAAAGAGTCCTCTCCTGCTGATGTTCAGGTGTATATCAGTATGTAGTGGTCTCTACTTTAAAGAGTCCTCTCCTGCTGATGTTCAGGTGTATATCAGTATAGTGTCTCTACTTTAAAGAGTCCTCTCCTGCTGATGTTCAGGTGTATATCAGTATGTAGTGTCTCTACTTTAAAGAGTCCTCTCCTGCTGATGTTCAGGTGTATATCAGTATGTAGTGTCTCTACTTTAAAGAGTCCTCTCCTGCTGATGTTCAGGTGTATATTCTCATATTGCCTGTGCTGCAGCACCTCTGTCTGAAACCAGAGCCCAGTGTATTCTGATTGGTTAGCTGGGCTCTGTTGTGATTTTAGCTTTTGGAGGCCGTTTACATGCACACAAACCTATAGAAATAGATAGTATAGAGAAAAATAATCAATTATAATCCCACAAGAACGTTCCTCCACACGCCTGGAAGTTGAATTGGGCGTCACTGATAGTTCTAATGGCTGAGAGGCTGGAGTTAAGGTATAGCGACCCCTTCACTCATGTTGAAGGGTGCTTGATTGGTTGGGTGTACATAGCACAGAACTTTGATCCCCTTTGTGGTCTAGCCTGATAACACTAAGGTGGGGGAAAGATAATGTTTCAATATTTATGGTCACATTGATAGAAAAGGACCGGTTTGCAGATATGCATGTGGGTGGGCTCAGAACACCTTTATTAGGTGGAAAGAGGGAAGGGGATGTTTGCATGAGTGAAAAGCCTTTGTGTTCCCTTCACAAAAGACCTAGGTGAACATTAGGAGGGGCTTAAGTGACAACATGTATTCTCTCCAAAGTCGCTGTTGAAATATTGGTAGAGTTAAAAAGGCCAGAAGGAAGGGAGAGGGTAGAGGCAAGCGCCGGCACATACGTCTAAACCTCGCCCCTCTGCTCAGCACCCCGAGGAGATTACATGATGGCGCTCTCCATTGTCCCGCTTCTTCAAGACAAAGCCTGTTCCACTGTGCAAACAGCGCGCCTTGGAAAGATTGTAAAAACATGAGGTGAATGTCAAAGGCAGAAGTGAATAGGATCTCTCCCTTCCTTTGTCAAGCCGGTAAGGTATGCACAAACACATCGCTGCGTGACAGAGAAGAAAGGAGGGCCTTGTGAGG